ACGGCTAACAGCAGACGCTAACAGCAGACGGCTAGCAGCAGACGCTCACAGCAGACGGCTAACAGCAGACGGCTAACAGCAGACGCTAACAGCAGACGGCTAGCAGCAGACGCTCACAGCAGACGGCTAACAGCAGACGGCTAACAGCAGACGCTAACAGCAGACGCTAGCAGCAGACGCTAACAGCAGACGGCTAACAGCAGACGCTAACAGCAGACGGGCAGATAGAACAGATATGACTCTTTGTGACGCTGTTCAATGTGTACGGAGATGAAATGGGAGAAGAGCAGCAGGCAGAGCAGAACCGATGTGAAGTCGGCAGAGAAGAAACTCTCCTCTTTGTCCGGCGATACATTATTGAAGGAAATGTGTGCGAGAACAGAACAAAACAGAGAGAAATGTGTTTGGGCAGGCGGTCCCCAGGCATTCATCCAGCTTGAAGCATATAGTATTAGCTTTGTGTTGCATGAGTAATGAACACATCCCTCTGCTGATGACCACTGGGACGCAAGTGGAGCCTGACCAAGAGCTGCTTTTAATACCAGAGCTGCAAAAAGAAAGGAAGGAGTTTGCTCTTAAGTGAAGACTGTGAAATCCACCACGACTGTAAGAGTTTGGGAGCTCGTCGGCCGATGCAGACTTTCAGAAAGTAATCCGAGGTTATGCAATACGGTGCTATTAATGCAGGAAACCAGCATGTAACACGTATGATCAGACCGTGGACACGGCAGACGGAACAATGATTCCTAATGCACAGGCCAATGTTAAAAGATGAACCAACACCAGACTGGCTAAGAAGAAAGAAAGACGGATGCTATGTGTGATCACAAGGGTCTCATTTGAGGACATTCCATTGTTGTGCCTGTCCAGACTTGGCCTGAAAGTGTCTGTCATGCCTCGCTTGGCTTTGTTCGCTCAGATCTGCATCCACATTACTGTCCCTCTGTCTTTGTTTCAGGCTCATATTACAGCAGTCACTGCAGCCCTTCTTCATTCCCTTTGTTGGAGATGCAACCGAACAGGTATAATGTAACATAAAAGTCTCATCTTTCAAAACCACCAGACTATTATGTGCGCTGTCTGTTGGAAATAGAGGGAGAAAGCGAAAGGCTGAATCTCTGTTCCAAAAAAACTCTGTCCTTTCCTCGTGGACTCGGCTTCGGAGCAAATCAAGCAATAAAATGTGAGAAATCTGCAAAAGCTGCATCTGCATGTTTTCCTTTGTCGTGTCTGTGAAGCCGTTAAAATGCGTCGTCCATTCTTTTCACTTAATGCATCCAGGTGTGACACAGCGTTAAAAAACAGAGAGAGACTGAAACTCTGCAGCTCCTCTTTCTGCCGTCCTCGCATTAATCCATCTTTCCTTTCAAATCAATAGGCTTTTGGAAAAAGAACAGAATGTGGACATCTATTCATTGACGTGCTGGATGACGAACAGCGCACTTGAACAAATGGGCAAAATGGAGCGGAGTGGACGGCTTCGATCTGCAGCGGCATCCTACCACGAGTGATTTCAAACAAAAGAAAATGGAACAAAAAGGGTGAAAGACAGCTTCTTCTTCACCGCCGTCGCTCTGTGGAAGGATTCAGCAAAGCTTTCTAAGAGTCCAGATCTTGCCGTGAACACTGAATCTGATGTCAAGGAGGGAAAGACAGAAGAATCCGTCTGACTGAAGTCTCCTTCTTGAAGGTAGCGACTATTTAAATGACCAAATGCACCTTCTACACTCCAGCATAAGCGTGTGGAGGCCAGGTTAGCTCCCTGAGCCCTGTGATGGTGGATATATTCTGTACATTTCTGTCCATTTTAGGGTTTCGGCACAAACTGAATTCTTTACTAATCTGCAAAATTACACAAAACCAGAGTTAATGAGTAAAAGCAGCACATCCCAGATTCACATAGCTGCTGTCTCATCTGTTCAAAGCCGTGACAGGAATAAATATTACATCTAAAAAGCACACGCTTGCTTTTAAAACAGCACATTGGTAGAACTGCAGCGGAGCCAATGACAGCGTTTGTCAAAGCTTCCTGTCTGGGTCCGATGGAGACTCAGCGCTCCACTGTGGGACTGGGCACCTTCACAGGGTCTGAACTGGGCTTTAATGTTGTAATTTATTGGCTTCTATTCACCCTTTAAAGAATCACCAGCTCAGCACAGGGAGGGGTTTGTGTGTCCCTGTGATCACAGGAGCTTCGTCTTCAAACTGGTCTTAGGGAAAGGACCAGTCCAGGACACACTCACAGGCCTCACTGGCTTGTGAATCGAGGAGCGGCACAACCTTGCATGGACCAGGGAGACCAGGACCCCTTCTGGCGTCAGGTGCAGGAAGGGGAGCTCGTTGGTGGGCATCTGGTGGCAGAGCCTCGACCCACGGGGCTCAGCCATGGTCCTGCCCAGGGGGCTGAGCCATGGTCCTGCCCAGGGGGCCCAGCCATGGTCCTGCCCAGGGGGCCCACCATCTGCACTCATGGATTTTCTAACTGGTGAACTTCAAATCGTGCAACAGGCCAAGACTGGCAACTACAAAACCCACCAGGCGTGCCCCGCTGAGACATCAATCTGTTTTACATCTTATTGCTCACTCCACACTTCTGTGTGATCTTTTGACCTAATGTGAGTGTGCTTGGTTGTCTGTCTCTAAGTGTAGCCCTGTGATAGACTGGTTACCTGTCCAGGTGAACCTGCCTTCACCCTGAGTCAGCTGGGATAGGCTCCGCCCCCCATGACCCTAGTGAGGATGAAGGTGTAGAGATGATGGATGGATCTCTGACCTATAGCCTGCACATTAACGAGCATTTAAAAGAAAACTGAAAAGTTTAAAAAGTGCCGTTTTGTGTTGCATGCTGGGACGTGACTGGTGGTTTTCCTGCCTTCCAAGTGTGAGCAGACCCTCGGGAGATGAGGATTACAGGTCTCACCTGGACGGGGAACACCTTGGGATGCTCCAGGCAGAACCAAAACTCAATGTCTGGACGACCTGCTGAGCTCGCTGCCACCTTGACTTGACCCCGGATCAGTCAAAGGAAGAGGATAGCTCGACAGAGTCGGCTTCTACACGGGAAACAGCTGCTTTTTTGTTTTGTGCATGGTAGTAATTCCTGCATCTAATATGGCTCAAGATCTCTGCCAGCCGTAGGAATGCTTCTTCGCAGCCAAATCTGATCTTGAAGCTCCAATAGTGGTAAGTGGAGACTGCAGGAATCCACAAACACCACAAACAAAGAGATGCTTTTGTAGAGAATCAGCTTGTTGGTGCGAATCAGGAACTCATTTGGTAATTTGGAGAAACTAAACATGAAGGAGCTCCAGCAGACTGAACCTCAGCCTCCACACAGTTCCTGGCTGAACTCTACTGATGGCTCCTGGCACCTTAAGAACCTCTAGTTGCCCCGAAGCTCGCAGAAAGCAGAAGAATTAGACCTGAATATGGTCCCTCCTGCACTGATTGGCTGACTTGAGGAGCTGAGAACAGCAGCGACGGCGACACGCTGGAATCAGGCTGTAAGCACAGCAGGTGCTCCGCTCGGCCAGAAACACCGACGAGCTCAGTTTGATCATCTCGAAGTTATTGTCTGTGGTTTCCTTGAGGATTCTCTTTGTAATGGCGTGTGCACACGAGGGGGACACGCGTGTGCACCAACACACACGTATCTCATCTTATCTAATTCATCGCAGCTCTGCTCGGATGAACAAGGACAGTTGTGAAGCGTCTTACTCCCACTTAGGATTCAGAAGTGCACCAGGAAGCATGAAATTGTTTTATTTATTTACGATGTGCCTTGTTGTCCCTGAACACGAATGTGACCTCCAGCTCAGAGCGGACCAGGTGAGCCGCACATTTAAAACCCCGTCTCTTATAGGGTTTGGCCTTCAGACTCACAGTTTGTTATCATAAAGAAAACGGTCTTTTCAAATGTGCTCTTGGATGCATTTACAAATCACTGGGCTTGTTTGAATGGAAAAGAAAAAAGCGGTGACTGTCTTTGTGGTCGGTGACAGCTGTACTGTTGTATCAGTCATCCTGAGAGAAGCAGGCCTGAGCCGCCTCACACCAACCGCAGGACGGAATAAAAGGAAGCAGGAAGCAACTATCGCAGACGACAAAAGCAGAAAATACATTTCTGGGGCTTATAAACAAGAAGATCGTGTGGATGGGAAACCATCTGTCACACAAACCACAGATTTCCTCTGAAATGATTCGGCTCCTGATAGCAGAACAGGAAACAGAGAAGAAATAAGTGCAAAGTTACAAAAAAGGGGGATGCTGGAAAGAAAGAGAAAGCAGAGGGGGGAAGAAAGGAGCAGTGGGGTGTTCTGCTATCACCAATAGTTGAGGGATATTTCCTCAGCCAAGGCGCTAATCCGGCTACCATTAGCATTTTCATGAGTCCTGTGTCCGGGGCTTGGCAGAGCATGTCACCGCCTCATTTGGTTACTTTTGTACACACTCACAC